TATTCCATAATGAATGATTGTCTGATATATATCCACTACCATTGTTATTATAATAGCTATGTTGAACAGGCGAACTGCTATCTGGTAGTGATAGACGCGTAGGTGGATTTGGCGTTCTTGGCTTACATGCCTATTAATAGGTATTATTTATTATTTACGTATAAAAATAAAATAAATATATATGTATATATATAAGATAATAAAATACCTGATTTGGCGATATATGATTGCTATGACGATCAACGGATAATTTACGGGGAGTTCGGGGAGTTCGTGGAGTTCGTATACTAGGTGAATACAACCTTATTCCTAAATTATTTCCAGAACTCAACTTTGATGGGGATTCCGTTGTTTCATTTGCAGCTAAACTTGTACGAATATCTTGTATTTGGGCTTTTAACCGTTGATTTTCTTTTTTGATTGCTTGTAATTGACTTTATGTAAATACCGTGCAGGTTAATTTAAAGAGATTATATATAGTTAAATATAACCATAAATAGTTTAGTTTAGTTTACTTTTTCGTATCTTTATATTGAAGTAATTCATCTTTCGCTTTGTCAAGTAATTGCCTTTGCTTTGCCACCTTATCTTTCAAAAATCTTAATAACGAAAATGTATTTGTTTGCTGAAACTGAATGATACAAACTTTGGGCATAAATAATAGTGGTATTTCAGAAGTTCTTTTCATTTTGAAAAGGGCGAAATTACCCTCAAAACGTCCGCAGTTTCATCCATTATTTCGTAGGCAGGTCGAAAAAACATGTTGAGGTTTGGAGGAAGCTAAGCAAACCATTTTATAATTATTGGTCTTTTTCGAAAACTAGCATTAAAAAGGTTTAAACAACTCTTACTTGATCAGTCAATTCAACAGCAGCACATTTTGCATTGCACACAGGACAAATATGTTCAGTAGTGGTTGAAGAGTTTTCTGAACGTTCGTTGACCAAAAAATATTATGTTTATGGAAAGAATATTAACTCAATTACAGAGCATGATACTTAGGTTTTAGATATTACCTTGACTGGTATCTCCGTGCTTATTAAGACACGATTGACAAATTACGTGACCGCACTCAGTCAACCAAAATCTTATTTGCGTTTCTTGAGCTGTAGAGGACGTTAAATACGCAAAACACGCGTTGCAATGAAGAAA